ATAAATCTAAATGTGTAAATTATGTACTATAATGACATATTAACAGCAATAGAGAAAAGCCTATCGTTACGGACCTTATTTCAGAGTAGTCGCACGGGTTGGAAAAACTTCTTGTTCCTGTATACAAGTAAGTCAAGGAGCTCTTTCAGTATGAGATGAATGACGTTACATGGTATCTTATGAAGTTTGAAACTGCCTTCAATATTTGCAAAAGTTCTTGTGGACGGAATCATGGGTTTTTTTTTGCAAAACAGAATGTAGGAGCTAGAAAATTGTAAGTTTAGTTTTGAGCTAGCAGTAATAAAACAAATATTGATAAAATGCTACGGCTTTGTTCAGAAACAAAGATGTAGTGACCGATTAAATTTTTTTCAATTAAACTTTATTAACGAAAGTAATGCGAATTCCGTACCAAGAAGGATGTCATTTGGTCTCTTATATCTTAACTTGTTGATCCGCTATGCTTAGCTTAAGAATTCATAACGGATATCTGGGCAACTGTGAGTAGCCTTTATCGCTATTCCATCTTTATGACGCCTTAGGCTCTGCAATTATATAATAATTTTTAAGCAAGAGATGTACGTTAATTCTCGCAGAACATTATGCTTTTCTAATAATGCAACCTGGAAGCAGTCATCCAATATCTTAAAAATGACTTCACCTCAGCTACATCACGGATGATACATTGTACAAAAAATGAATCAGTAGACAAAGCCGATTTGGAAATCACAGCCTAAAACGAGATTAAATCAGTCCTTTAAAAGTGGTATAAAAACAAACATCTACCAGTAAACTGCCTCGAGGACACATTTTGCATACCACCACGTAGTCCAAACCATCGAAGGAGAAGCCAAGGAACTTATTATTTATGTTGTCATGATCTAGCTTCCGTAACTGAAATTCACACAGACAATAGAGCGCTTCACAAAAAAGCATTATCGAAGCTGATAACAGTTTTCGGCAAATGCGCTTCATTTTCATGAGTTTTACCGAAAAGTCAACTCTGCTTCTTCACCTTGGAGATGAAATGGCAAACTTTTTTGAGTTGCATCTAATATTATCAAAGTTTTACCTTGTAGCAATTATCATAAAAAGGCTTTGTCAACAGTGTTGGAGGATGTTTTGTATTAAGAACGGAATCGTTGTTGAGAAGAGCTGCTGTGAACATGCTGTCCTCATTTTCGAAATCACTTGTGGCAGTCATTGTTGATGGGCCAGATTGCAGCGAGCGGTAGCTTCGACTCTTCTTTTCCACTTTCTGAGTCGAAAAGCAACATAACATATTAAATTATCTCTATGAGCGCTACTGCTACCTTTGAAGTGTTGATAGTGATTCTGCTAAAGGCAATCTTCCATTCATTCATTACCCGTAGCTGTGTGCGATGCTTTTCCCTGTAACACTAAATCATTAATTACCTTAAGTACCTCACTTGTCATTGTTCATGCAATAAACAAAGGTTTTTTTTTTGCATTGTTAAATTGTTGAGCTGCCAAGCGAGTACGTAACCAATGAAAGGCTTCAAAAAGTAATTTACATTACTTTATTATCAAGGGTGCCATTATAAGGATAAAATCACAAAGAAATCGCATCTTCAGCGTCCTCAAAAACATCCAAACACGAGATCTAGTAACTGTCATTGATACAAACACAGTCTGCTCTTTAGTCTTCGTATGACTGGTATTTCTCAATTAACTGTATAAAAATCGGTCTCACTAATGAATGGAAAGCCATGGCAGAGATGTGCGCATGACATTATTTATGTTTCATTTTTTTGACGTTGTATTCGTAAAAGAACTGAGTACATTGTTTCCTCTTTCTTCTTTCTTCCAGCTACTTTTCTGCTATCAAAAAACGAACCTCAGTAAGTGGATTATCAAACATATTATGATAACGACCAAGATGAAGATGAGAGCGATTGCGATAACAACATATACAGCGTACTCCTTAAAAAATTCCTTAGGACATTCTAGTAAAATCCGCAAATTGGCGTTGGTAGTGGTCTGGAAACGATAAAATTTGTACCAAATTAGAGAAATTAGGTTGTAACAAAATTTTTCGTGATCTTCCTCACCTTTGCTTCCACCTTTTCACATTTGATCACATTTGAAAAAACATTATGCATATGCATAATGAACATTATGCATTATACTATGAAAACCCTCTTTCTGCTCTACATGACTCCGTCAACCGTCTTCTATTTCCTGATTTCTGAAATTTTTGCATTTCACTTCGCTTTGAGCTGTGAAATGGAAAGTCAGGTCGACAGCAAACAGCATTTTCGACGCCTTAAAGTTCCCTTGTTAAGTCTGGCTAACAAATTCGAGCGGCAGAGTTGGAGTGTACTTCCATTGTAATGACTTCAAGATTAGGAAAAATGGC